GCTACGATCGAAAGCGTAGAAAAAGNTTTATCGTTTCAACTGCAATTTATGGTAATTTGCACGCTTAGCTAAGGCAAAGACAGCAAAAAATTGCGTCTAGCAGTAAGTGCTGGATTTTGCAACAGTTGGCACTTCAATAAGTTAGATAAGGACATTGCACGTGTTTGAGTGAGACAAAAGATATTGTAAATTCATTTAGAGATACCACTGACACCGAAGAGTCTGTTTTATCGACCTCGTGCAAATTTTTTCGACCTTCCAGCATCGCCTTAAGACATTAAGTTTTCTTTACAGTCTTCGATATAGACAAAAATATCTTACTTTTCGATGCATAGCTATCTGACCGCAAACTGCCATTATGCATCCGCTCGTTTTACCGCACTGTGGCGATCCAATAGCAAGAACGTTTAATCCCATGTTTATGGCTGGCCACATGTAGGATTGAATTTTCCTTGGCCTAGAAGATTTCATATTCTCGGTCCAACCCTGGAGAATAAAAAGATATAGTAAGATATAAGTAAAGATATACTCCTATTACACTCTCAGTCAACCGACTATCAAATAAGTTTATTGAATTACCTCATGTATTCTCCTAGGATATTTGAGATCCGTAATGTCATTTAACACATTGCAATCTATTGGGCTCTGTATCAAAATCTTCTCACTAATAACAGATAGCAAAAGCATAAGAATATCTCTATGTAATCATATATACACTTGTATAAATATTTTTACCTCAGATTGAATTTTATCTGAGAATGTTTAACACGACTGATATGTGTCCTCTCGTTCTTTTTGCCTTTACCCTTTGAAGTTTTTACATATAAAATCTGCCAATGGTTTTCTTCGAGTTGCGTGGGCGCTTCAAGAAGTTCCAACAATTCTAGATGTCAAATCACAAGATTATTTGAATGTTATTAAATCTACTTTAATAGATTTATTTATAGGAATATTTTGACGGAGACATTCACTTACCTCCTTCTATGTAGAGTGCGTGATAATTATTGAATAAAGCCTTAGTTAATGATATGACGACATTATCAATGGTAAAATAGAATTCTCCATATTCTCTTCCATTACTTTCGTCCGTAATAAGATGATCAAAGTATACAACTTTAGACGCGCCGAGGAGACGTTTTGTAAACTGAATTGCTTCTTTGGTCCATTGTTCTGCAACACTTTTAGTTGCAATTTTTTGAATGTTTTATATATAATTTCTTTTATATTTATATACATATAAAACGACTGTGAGAGGAATAAAACTTACACTGCCTTGCATCCATTTAAAGCGGAGCTGTTCCTTTTCAAGTAGATCGGCAAAATGCCACATACACCAATGATTTTCGTTAAATATTTGTCAAGACAAAGATTTTTTGGAAGCATGTAAAATGTATCGCTAATTATTTCAATGCTAACACCGTGGTCCACTAAAAGAATATTATATGTTCCATTCTTTTTATTAATATTAGTTATTAAACCTCGGCAAACAAATGCTGGTAATTTTATCTTGTAGTTTTTAGTTTCAAGGTGCTGCACAAAGATCATCTGCAAGATAAATACAAAGATAAAATATCTTATTACGTGAAATGTAATTTGTGCAAAACATCAATCAGATAATTAAGTATAATTCAAATGCAACAATGAAACTTACATCGCCAATTTTAACATCTTTCATATATTTATTATATTTTCCATTCAAAAAATCATTCGTTTTCATAAAATTCAATAGCTTGCTCTCAATTTCGCGTAGTGCCTCCTTGTGTGTTTTAACTTCGTAAGCTGTCATAATATATGGATTTTGTACATTTCCAATTTTCATTGCTTTGGCTGTAGGAGGAATTCTACCTGAAACTAAGTAGAATAAAAATTTATTAGTTGAATAATTCATTTCACTTATCATCGCTACAAATATTCAGTCTGTGAACATTACCTCGATGCTTATGAAAATTGTTCATCTTTTGAAAATGATTTCTCTGAAATGAAAAGGTTTGTAATAATTTACAATTCTATCTAAATAATTCTTTTATTTAATTTGAACCATTAACATATATAATAGTTGTCTTTCTATTCTTATATACAGGGTGTCTCATAATAGGTGTATCACCGTTCATGGGTAGGTAGAACGGACTAAACTGAATCGAAAAGTCCTCTAACATTTTGCAAAGTTGGCAATCGTAAACGAAACATTAATTTTTGAGGATTGACGAATAAACGCGTATTCATCCGGCCCACCGCTGAATGCAAGTGCGTGGCAAGATAAGTAGATTAAACTGAACAAAAAAAAAATCCTCTATTATTTTGTAAAATTCGCATTTATTAACGAGATATTAAGTTTATTCGCCGATCTTCAAAAATTAATATCTTGTTAACGATTGCAAATTTTGCAAAATGGTAGAGGACTTTTCTGTTTAGTTTAGTCTGTTCAATCTACCCGTGAACAATGATACACCTATTATGAGACACCCTGTATACAGTTCATGTTTCTGTTTTATTTCTGTGGACTATCACCACAAACTTCTATATACTAACTAGACCAATCACTTTATCACCATGTTTAATGCCAAGCAGTGCTCGTGATGGAGAGAATCCCACAAGACGAGGATCTCTCTTGAGATCACTTTCGTGTCTTTCTATTTCACATGCAAAATAATCAAAGTGAGTCTAGTTAATATATGTGAGAGAAGTCTGTGCTCTTGTTACACACTTCATCCTACCATTTGATCATTGTATTTAGCAGTTGCTGATCTCTTGAATGGAACCGGCATCATAAATAAATTTATGAAAAAATATTTCCAATAGTAAGTTACTTCCCTCGGTCTCCTCTAAGTATGTTTCCCGGTGAACAGAACTCCAGTCAATTTTTTTTGTCAATTTTGCAAGATATAACATACACCAATGTAACATGCAAGTTCGTCACGTGAAAAGGTTCCCCCTTGAAAAATAAAAAATAAAAAGAAACACATGTTTCTTCGACGATCACGAGCTGATCTCGGGAGAAGAGTTTGATTCAAGTATTTGCAACGACTCTCGCGTGGGATCTGAAGCAGCACAGGATAATCGTTGTAAACAAAGAACTAACCTCAAATCGGATCTCGGCTAAGAGTAGTGAAATAATCAATCAAGTGAATCACTTCTTTTCGACTACTGCCATGAGTGATTATTTCCTTTATTTTTCCGTAATTGTACACGAAAGCCCACGAAATTTTCGAAAAATAAAATAAAATGTAATAACTATATACATACCTTCGCGAATGTTAGTCGATGTTCTATTAGTCCTTGATGTCAATTCCTTCGTTTAAATTTAAGAATATCGTGCTACTACGTCCAGGAGCAAAATTAATTTCACACGAGAAAGATCGTCTAGAAAGATCGAGGGAAAACCTGTTACTTCGGATGCTCGCAACTCAACGGCTCGCACTCAGTGTTGTTAAAACCAAATTTCCATTTATCCCTATCGACGTTATATAAAATCCCTACAATTCCCTACGCAAAAAAATGGAAGGGAAACTGTTACAAAATTCAAAAGAAAATAAAAATAATGATGAAAATAAGATCGGAAGAGCACACGTCTGAACTCA